GTCATGTGATCCTGTCAATAGTTAACACTAGTCTGGTCACGGGGATCGTACCGGAGTCATGGAAGCTGTCGATTGTTCATCCAATTTACAAATCTGCCGGCGCCTTGAATGATCCATCAAGTTTCAGACCTATCTCAATAGTACCATGTCTCGCAAAAATTGTCGAACGTGTAGTACATCAGCAACTGTTCACGTACTTCTCCATGAACCACCTGTTTAGTGACACTCAGCATGGATTTCGCCCACGGCATTCAACTGAGACCGCGCTACTCAGGGTGACCGACCATGCCTTGAGCGCGATGGATGCCGGTAAAATAGCACTGTTAGTCCTGCTTGATGTGAGTAAGGGGTTCGACGTTGTCAGCCACGAAAAGCTCCTTGAAAAGCTTGTACTGTACGGTGTCCACACTGAGTGGTTTGCAAGTTATTTTCGAGACCATCACCAACAAGTTCGTCTTGACACGCCGGATAATGGCCCTCAGTTATCCGTGAAGCGACCTAATCCGATCGGTGTGTATCAGGGTACTGCCCTTGGGCCATTGATGTTCTCGATTTTTGTAAACGACATGTGCTTGCACACTGACAGCGACGTCCTCATTACTCAGTACGCAGATGATACTCAGGTGTTAGTGACCGGTCGCAAAGCTGAACTAGATCTGCTAGTCAACCGTATGGAGAACGCCCTGAGGGACCTGTTCGCATGGTTTAGCCAGAACCTCATGAAAATCAACGCCGGCAAAACAAAACTTCTAGTGATTGGTACCCGTCAAATGCTTCGTGGTCTGCCCCCCGTCACGCTCCACGTCGGAGGCGCGCGCATTGTCGAGTCGGAGACAGCCAAAAACCTAGGAGTGGTTTTCGACAGATACCTGTCTTTCGAGCCGCATGTTGATGAGCTTGTCAATCGTTGTAACGGTCTGCTGATTGGTCTGCGTCACGCCAAGCATAGACTGCCGGGCGATGTCATGCCCACTGTCATCAACGGATTAGTGCTCTCCATCATTCGATACTGTATTCCCGTCTATGGCAGCGCTCCAAAGCAGGCCATGCATCGCATTCAGAAGGTTATGAATTTCTGTGCCCGAGTTTTATCTGGACGCAGAAAACACGATCACATCAGTGACGTGCTCTCACAGTTAGGCTGGCTTTCCGCTCACAACCTATGTATGTACCGCTGTATCTGCTTGCTGCGTCAAGCACTGGTCATCGGCGAGCCAGCCACAATCGCCCAGTCGATCACAACCACCAGCCAGGTCCACGACAGGAGCACACGTGCCAGTTATCAGCAACAGCTGCGACCGCCGGTGATCAGAACAGAAACTGGCCGGCGGCAGTTTATGTACAGGACTGTCTCCGCGTACAATGCGCTGCCCCAGTCTGTTCGTGGGGGGTCCAAAAGACGGCTGAAAGAATACTTGGTACAATCACAGGGATGATAGATCGACCGAATGTTTGAACATCATGTGTGTCAATGGAGTGCATAGTTATTGTGATGTGATTTTGTTCCCACTCATCCATGTTAACATTTTATATCTGTACTTGTTCTCATGAAAAGCCACACTAGTGGATGAGACGCGATGTCAATACAATACAAGGGCATTGGAATGCAAAACGGCTATTTGCAAAGCTAACTTTTATCATCTACTTACAGTTTTGGATAAGTTTTCTCTTGGAGGCATGCAAAAACAAAAATGTGACCTAACGGTCGATATTCAAAATAGAGTATGATTTGGGGCCGTCGGCCTCAGTATCTAAACAAAGTTTACTTACCCAACTTCGTGACAAAAAAAGTGCGCAATCATGCAAACAATGGGCTGTTTTTTCAGCGAGCCCCTTGGGATCTCTGAATAATATCGCTTACTCCAATCGCTGGGAGATCGCCATGCCATTTACGGGATGAATGAGCCTCACGCAGAAATCGTACAACGTAGGGAGCATTCTTTCTTTGTTGGCTTTTTTAGCACGATGTTAATTGAATGAGTTATTTGGAAATGAAATTCCAACGACACGATAAAATATTATGTGCAAAAGTTCGCTTTGAAGAGCCTTTTAGGTTAATAACATAAAGGAAACAGGCGTGCAGGTCAAAGAAGCAATAAGCTTGAATCACAAATACTAGGTACTACTATAAAGCGGAAATCCTCAGCAGGCCGCTGAACAAAGCAGGCGAACACTGACAAGGATCCAGAAAAGGTGCATATGGGCTGATTACAGAGCAGAGTAGAATACATTCAATGGGAGTACATGCCTCGGGTGTTTGAGCTACCGCTCAATGTAAGTAATTGTAGGTGACCTCTCAAATATCAACATAGGATGACGGCACATGTTCCAAACGGGGCTTCTGTCTAGCCTCTCAGCTTTGAATGCAGCTACCCGCAGTTTGTGGTATCTCCTCAGCTACAGAAGCAGCCAGCGTCATCATCTGATATTTTCAGAAAAGTCTCCAAGTTTTGCACTCAGCTTGGAAACTCTGGGCCTCAATTTGAATGTAAATGAGGAAACACAAGTGGACGAATAAGGACGTGAAAAGCGCTCTTCACCGATGAAATCCATTTATGCAACTGGAAACACCCGTCTCTCATCTACCTTGTTATGCCTTTTCTTGTCGTCGGGAAGGTTACTTGCGTAAGGAGAAGCCTTGGGAGAAGCTATGGTGGAAGCCTTTAGACGTAACTGTTTGTGAGGGTTTGACTCGCTGCAGGTTCCGAATAACTGCTAGCATAAGTGCGCTCTCTGCTTTTGCAGTAGCTGGCATTCAGTCCGAGTCCGGCGAGTCTCTGAGACGAAATTGAGGTCATCAGGAATCAGATATGACAGAAATCGGAATGATCGACAGAACTTGAAACTAAATTCGACCGAAAGAATAACAATAGAAGACATTCAATGGTAGTTTGGTGAAATTGTGACTTACGCAGACAATAGCGGTTTTGATTTTTAACCCTCGCCGGACCTATTGGTTTTCTACATATGCGCCGGCCGAGGAAGAGGGGGGGGGGGGCGGGTACGATCCCCCTCGCCGTTTCGCCCCTGGTGGAGCTAGCGCGTCGCGGAAAAACGAGCGTGTGTGCCGTTACGAGACGCAGAGATTGATACCCGATTTTAACCCTCGCACGACCAGGCCATTTCTCATAACACGAACGACCAGGGGGGGGGGGGTTGTTACGACCCCCCCCTGGCGTTTCGAAACGGAAGGTCGTAGAGCTTAGCGGAAAAAACCAACGGATTGCTCTCAACGAGATCTCGCGATTGGTGGTATATTTTTTGGTCCTAGGTCAACATTTGACCTACTTATGACCGGTCAAAGGTCAAATTTTCCGAAAAAATCAAACTTTTCAAATTTCCGCGGCGATTGCGGCAAAACGGTGGGAGATATCGACTTGAAATCTTCACTATCGTGTTCCTTGATCAATTCTCTATCGTTTGGTATGTATTTCGTTTCCCTAGCTCTAAAAATGGCGCGTTGGGAGCGCTGGAAGTCGGCAAGGTCACAGTCGGCGGCAGAAATTCGAAAAATCAAAATTTAAATTTTTGAAATCTGATTGTATTTTTGGATTTGGGAGGTCCATTTGCTCCCTATAGAAGCTAATATTGCTGCATATTCCCATTGAGGTGACAAGAATTAGCAAAATAGTGGTTCGGGCGCTTTTCAAAAATAGTACCGGACGCTGTTCCTCTTGTGACGTCATAGCTCCGTGACCTGACCTGACCCGGTCAATTTTCTTGCACCACACGATAGCCAATGCTTGCCCCAACATGCATGGGAAGTTTCATCATGATCCATCAAACAATGTGGGTATCACCGGCAGAAAACCTAGGGATTCGGCGCACACGTTTGGTAACTGTCGGCCGGAGGCTGTACCTCTTATGACGTCATAACTCCGTGACCTGACATGACCCGATCAATTTTTTTCGGCAAAAGATGCGAAAAGGTTGCCCCAGAGGGTATTGAAAATTTCAGCCCGCTACGACAAGCCGTTTAGCGTGCACTTCGAAAAAACCTCAGGGGGGGGGGTTGATACAACCCCCCCCCCTAGGCGTTCTAGGGTTAAGTTCCTAGGTCAACCGGTGACCTCTGAGGTCAGGTCAAGTTCCCCAAGGTACGGCTCTGCAGTTTTTGGTAATAACTTCGCAAAAAACGACCGTAGAGCCGCGATTTTGGCAGCATCATGTTCGCCTTACTCAGGCGCGTCGAATGATATACTTTTTGTTTGGGTGAGGTCAACTTTGGGTGTTGACCTCAGGTCACGGTCAGGTCAGCGCCCCCAGGTCACGAAGTTGGTCGAAGGAGGTCATGTCGCTAACATTCGATTCGGCAGGTATTCTTGAGTTCGTTGGTGGCTTTCCCGACTTGCTAGCTCAATTTGATCGGGAGTTATTGACGAAAAACTAATATGACCTTGATGACTTCATAAATGACGTCACGCAAGGTCAGCATTGCAAAAGTGACGCATCTAACCTTGCAAGGAGTGCATAAAGTCATGATTCTGTGTGATTGAGATAGTTGGAGATCGTTCCCGGCGCCAGAATAGCAGTTTTCATTTTTCCCCATTGACTTACAATGGTGAGGTCACGAAAATGACCTGATCTCATATGACCTTTATGAAAAATCCGAGATATGCAAGTTGTGAGACTCGTAATGGATACTAGATCCTGCAAGTTTCATTTCCCTGTGAAAGCTCCTCTGGCAGTGAGGGCGTTGCGAAGTTACGACATCTGAAGACCGTGCAGAGGTTCACTTATGACGTCATAGGTCAGTGACCTGACCTGACCCGAAAATGCGGTTGGTGTCAAAAGATTCGGCTTGAATCAAAGGTCAGGTATGCCAAGTTTCAGCTTTCTAACACCAGTGTGTTCGGAGCTATCGCGAAAAACCCTATGGGGGGCGGCACCCGCCCCTCCCCCCTCGGCTGGCGAGGTTAATGATAATACTTGCTGTTTCTGGAAAAGTAACGAACATCAGTTTGAATAAGTCGACACTGTTTTTTTTTTTTTTTTTACAGTACCGCCGGAGCCGCCCACAATATACGAGGGCCAGGGACGCATGCCTGGCGAGGGGATCATCGGACCCTACAAAGAGGGCGACACCACTCGTCTACTATGCGTGGCCTCCACCGGTGAGTAAAGGCATCAAACATTGCTGCTCTGAGGCGTTATCGCTAGTGTTTTCATTGGGTTTTGTGATGTAACGGGAATTCATGATAATAAAGCGTTTTTGGGAAGTGTAGGGCAGCTTGAGATTGGACCGTCTTACACTCATCATTTTCCGATAGCCTGTAAAACGTAAGACAATAACACCCATTCCAGCCGCTGACGTTTCGATCTCCCACGGTATTCACCTGACCTTGGCGAGCCTCCTGACCCCTGACCTCGTCCATCTACCCATTGTTCGACCTGCGGATCGCGGGCATAGTCCGCGGGGCTCCGTCTGACCGTAACCCGGTCGTGCGGGCGCAGACGGCCGTCTTGAGCTCACCACCACTGACCATGGGCCTGCCTTTATCGGCCGGGTCAATTTGCCAAATGGCCCGGCCCACCCGCTCAGCGGCCCTACGACTCGAGCAGACAGAAGATGGCTTCCTTCCCACATTACGGCGATAACATGAATCGCCAAGACCAGTTGCGGCGATGGCTGAGATGGCTTCTAGTTTGGTGCGAGAGAGCAACTTTGACGAGGCAAATGAAACATCCAATTCAGCTCACGTTATTTCGCACTTAACCACCTCGATAGCAGATTAGTCTTATGTAATGGAATAGACAAGCTGTTAGAAGGCTCCTGAAGCATGGGATGTCGTTTCTATGCATACATGCACGCATCGAAATGCCAAAATCAGTCAAGCCATTTTCACATGACCTCTCGGTCGCTGCCTTTAAACTTTTCCTGGTTCAGCTGCCACTCCCCGTTAGGTTGATTTTCTGTAGCAGCCGCCGTCTCGCTGTCGGAAACAATCTCACTTTGCCCTGTCCTCTTACCATGCGGGTCTCACCCGACACTAACTCCGCAATGTCCACCGTCCAGCTCGGTGAGGGCCCTGTTCTGTGACCGTCTGGAGACGCTCCTCTTTGCCAGGGACCGGTATCCCAGATCTCCCAGTCTGCGGTCGGCCCGCCCCTCGCTCTGTCTGCCTTACACCGACGGACGTTTGATTGCGGCTGTAAAGTCTTCTGGTCGACAATCCGGTTCTCGTGAGCTGAGAGAGGCCCGTCCGAGACCTCCCTCAAATGCGAGGTTGGCTGTGCTTCCGCTGCTCGCTGCACCCGGAGAGAGAACGAGAGTAGGAAGGAAGATGAAGGACAGATTGATCGGGTCTGGAATCGGAGCATGACGGAGGTGGTTAAATCGTAGAAACAAACTTTGTTAAAAAGTAAACACAATGTTGAATTCCCGAACTAGATTCTGGAGGTGTTAACCCGCGCCCTGCTGGGGGGGGGGTGTTTGAACACCCCCCCTTGTGGTTTTTCGCGAATATCTCAAAAACGGCGGCGCGGAGCGCCGCCGTTTTTGGTACACCTTATCATACATCAATTCTACACATGTTGTGAAACTTTCAGACCAAGGTCATTCAAGGTCAGGTCACCAGGTCATTTGAAGTGACCTCACCTCATAAAAAGTTTCAATGTCTGTCATAGCTACACCGAGAGACCGATCGCTTTGAAACTTTCAGCGATTGCTAAGAGCAATAGCATGTACAAAATGTATATCTCAGAATTTTGATATCGATGACCTAAGGTCAGGTCAATTTCGCGACCTCCCCATTATAAGTCAATGGGAGAAAATTGAAATGCGCCTCTTTTGGACGAAAGACATTATAAACACTCCCAAACACCGAATTACAAGTGGTGTAGACACACTGAATATAAAAATGGTGTCCGTGACCCCTGTTTATGCCCTGAGGTCATCTTAGGTCACGAATGGTATCTAACAGTTTTTCGCAAATAACTTTTGATAGAGGCATGCTAGAGCGATGAAAACGCCTTAGATGTGTTCAGCTCGACGATATGGATCGACTGATATGCAACATGACCCTTTCCGGTCAGGTCATGACCTTGACCTGAGGTCAAATTTCAAAGTTGACCTTTCAAGGTCAAGTTATAGTTCATTCGATGCGTCTTGACGAGAGGAACACGATGCCGGTAAAAGTAAGCTCGTACAAGGCTTGTGTCAAAAGTTATTGCAGAAAAACTGTTTCCGAAAAAATCGGTTATTTTTGCAGTTTTTGCCCCCTGCAGGCAAAACCGTTGACGTTAGGTCAAATCTGAGAGAATTACTCAGAAAGGGCGTTAATAGGGCTATCGAATGCGCTTTTCCGCGGCGCTGTAGCTCTATTGGTTCCCGAGTTATGCGTTGGCTTCTTGGAAATTTTCGACATTCGACCTGGAAATCGGCGAAATTTTGCCTTCAATGACCTCTGGTGACCTGACCTTTGACCTGACCAAAAAATTGACTGAAGTGATTTCCTTATTATTTTTGACGCTCTTTCGAACGCCGCCTTCCGCGTATCGCTATGTGGCCCAGGAGCCGAGTTAGAAGGGGGGGGGGGTGTTCAAACACCCCCCCCCAGCAGGGCGTGGAAATCCAGGACCCCCAGCCGGGCGCGGGTTAACTCAAGAATAACATCCGCTGGATTATTCAGCGCATTCGAACATGCGCAGTCGATCGATTAGCTGCTGGCTGCATCCGCAAATGGTCGGCCGTTCCGCCACTATGAACTCGGCTCCGACGGCGGCAGTGGCGGCGGACAGTGCATCCGGAGCTCCTCTCCGGGCAACAAAAACGGCAACGCTGGCGTGCGGCGGCGGCGGCCGGGTCAGCAGGGTCGCGTGACGTCATTAGCCAGCTGACAGTCGTGGGCCAATCTGACTGTCGGAGCTGTTTTCAGAGCACGTCGCACTAGCCAGAGCTATTAAGCTAATGACTATTAACTCCATAACAATGAATGGATGTTGTGTTTTTGTTCGTCGATGATCCGGGGCCGGGCTCTTTGCCAGCTAGCGATAGCGTTAGTCGCAGTGGGTGCACGTAAATGGAGATTTTTTTATAGGTTTTTCATCATCAAGAGTAAAAAATGAACTTAATGATAAACGAAAATATGCCAACGTTTTTTTTTTGTAACATCCACGAAAATATGCTAAATAAAAAATATGGGAAAATGGTTACCTTTTGCTGTAGGTACCTAGATGTTTGCCACTTGATTTGTTCTTCTGGCTTCAAATTTTGTTGCTAGGTAATGCTGCCTCAAATTTGATTGCTCTTGAAGTCTGTTATTTGGTTATCTGTTAGTTATGCTAAACGCTAGCATTTTAGATAACAACTGTTATTAGCCTCGAAAATTAACTTCATTCACTACGGATATTAGCACAAACACACGCCAAGCACATGCCTAATAATATAAGCAAATCTAACAAATTCTTAGCTTTGCCAGTCACTAAAAAATATCGCTAATCTATGAAAAATCAGCCGGCCTTACTGATGCTTTTTTATGTCAGTGGAAACCGAACATGACTCCTGACCTCCCACCTAATTTCAAGGAGGCTGCAGCCAAACGTGGCCCCTGACCTGACCTCACATCTGCCCTCAGGGAGGCCACAACCAAACGTGACCTGGTGGCGCGATAACGCACTGGTGGACGCTACCTGGGCGACCACGGAGGAGGGCGCCACTGAGAATCAGCTGACGCTGGGCCCGCTGCGCCGTGCTGACCTGGGGGCGGTGCTGACCTGCTGGTCAGCCAATCACCCCCTGGCCACGCCCCGCTCCGCCACCGTCACCGTTACCATGATATGTGAGTAAGCGCTGACCGCCAGAGGCCGGATCACAGGCACAGAGCTGAGCTACCGAAAGGTTGAACCTTCTGAAATTTCCCGTAGCCGGGATGTGGGTGGGTTTAATTCAGTTACTTTGTTGAATTTTCACACCGTGCTATACCGCGAGGTGGAAGCATCTGTCTATTTTTAGGATGTATTTTCTCATATGTCACGTACGAAACTAATCATTCAAGGAAAGTTTCACCGTAATTTGATGAACTTAAATTTCATTACGTCAAACTTGTCCTCAGTTCAACCCTTTTTTTAATTAAAACCAAGAATCAGAGAAAAAGTTAGCGCAACTTGCCGTTCAGGTTATGAGAGGGCAATGACAACTCGCCTTTTTAGTTCTCATAGATTGCAGCATTTGTTTTAATTAGCTATCCAGCCGGTTAACCCTCGCCGGCACAGGCCATTTTGAGTCCATCGACGGCACAAGGGGGGGGGGGGTGGTACGACCCCCCCTCGCGTTTGGCCCCTGATCAAGCTAGAGCTTCGCGGAAAAAACGAGCGTGTTGCCCGTCACGAGAGGAAGCCGATGATACCCAATTTTAAGGTCCTAGGTCATCGGGTGACCTTCCAGGTCAGGTCAATGACCCGAAAACCGGGAAAATCGGGACCTGTTAGAAAGTGGTAAAGTGTGGCTGCTATGTGGTTTTCCGGGGTGCTGATCACGAATATCGTGTTAGTTTTGATCATAGATGATGTCTTTAAGCATTTAGACCAGGTCGGGTCAGGTCAGGTCAGGTCAACCGGTAGGGGTTGTGACGGGTATTCGTAATACGTGTCAACCGCCTCGGACAGCTTCGTAACATGTTACGAAGGCACCAAAACTACTTCGTAAATGTTCAAATGGTTGCTAAATTCGAATTCAGCTCCAAAAACTAGCCTAGAAACATGTAAAACTCGAAAAAGTGAACCGAGGTCACCCGAGGTCACCAAAGGTCAATGACCTGACCTGACCTTCAGGTGACCTTGACACCCACCCTAATGCATGGGAGCAACATCAAATCACATGTTTGAACGTTTGAAACCACGAAAAGCTTGCAAACGCGCGGCTAATGCGAGCCGACATGCGCCGAACCGCGATTTCGGCCAAATATGGTCACAGAAAAGAGGTCACAGGTCAAAGGTCATTGGGGTCAGGGTCATAAAATTTTCAGGGTAGGTGTAGAATTGATCAATGCGAGGGTACTGAAAGTTTCGTCGCGATCGGCCGCTTTTTACGCGAGTTATTCGCGAAAAACCTTAGGGGGGGCTGCATCAACCCCCCCCCCCCTGTGCCGGCGAGGGTTAAAGCTCAGATACTATGCGCTGCAGCGACCAACTTTACCATAACCGTTAAGTGACATTTTTTGCTATTGAAAGTGCATTATCGCGCGAATAAGTTGAGCTGAAATAAAAAAGTGCATTTTTCCAAACAAAAGGCACTTTGGCAGCCAACTTCCTTTATCATAGTGCTAGGGGAAGTTGGGGCAATGCCGGAGTTGGGGCAAAGCCGAAATTCGAGATATTTCTAAAACCATACGACATGGATGCCACGTCTCAGTGATACTCTGAAGCTTAAGTGACTACAATTATCGCATGTTTGTTACGAGTCGTCATTTGGAATACTTCGGCTGTGAGGGCGCCAAAAGCGTTTTCAAGGTACGTTTCCCTTGTACTACATGCGCCTTTGAAGGTGCATTTCTTACTCATTACGAGGGGGTATCGAAAAGTTCTGATCATCACCATGAATGAGATGTGATAGAAATTTGATTTTTTTACATGATGTTCATAACTCCTTTACAAGTCACCACACACGACCGCAAACTTATTGCATCGTTTCTTGAACTGCCTCAGGCGGTCATTACAGGACCTTCGCACTGTCCCGTAAATCACTGCTCCACCTCATCAATGACGTCATTTCTGTCCTTAAATCACCGGCCATACTGTGGATTCTTCATCTCCCGTAACAATAAAGAGTCAATTAATACCTGGTCAGGTGAATTTCTTAGATGCGGTAGGATTTAATGTCCACATCATGTTGTTTCTTCAATCTCAGCTCAGGACGAATGGGCGGGGGCGCTGTCGGTGCGGATAAAACATCTTTCTTGGGCTTTTTGGCGGCGATTTTGCTTGAAGCCATCTTGCAACTTCTTCAAAAGTGTGCAGTAGTGCTTGCTTATCATTATCCGACCATTATCAAGACAGTCGGTAATGACTATCCTACGCCAGATCCATAACACTGATAGCATTGACCTTCCATATCGGCTTCTGCATCTTCGCCTTTTAAGGAGGACAGATGTGTCGTGCTTAAAGTTCTTGATCATCTTTTTGTCTCTGGATCATACACATAGACCCAGCATTCGTCACAAGTCATCAAATGATCGAAGATGTCTTCAATTTCCTAAAAAAGACCTAGTTTTCATCTCGAAAGGCCAAGACGCATTTTTCTCTTAAACAAAGTAGACACACGAACCTCTAAGCGGACTGACTCCTCTATCGTCTATAGTTCTTCGCTGATAATATTTTTAGGCACTGCCAGCATTGAGACCTTTCTGTTGCACAATCATCTGAAAGGCCACACGACGATCTGTAAGGATGAGGTCCTCCACTTCCTTCACAGTCACCACCTTGTCAGTCACTGGTAGTCACTCGCTTCTTGACTCCCCTGCAAGGGCCATGCAACCAAGCTGAAAATTATTTCTTCATTTTCGGTAAGTGCATGAGATAGGCTTTCCTCGCCATAAACTAATTTCACGTTCTTGATGTATTTTCTCAGTGTGATACCGTTTCAAATGCTTTAATTGGATGACGGTTCGGCCCTCAATGGGCCCAATACTCATCTTTTTTACTTCTAAGTCTCTCCTACATAAGATAAAACCACTTCTCAGGATTCTCTTTGCGGGAGCATTGTTCTTAAAAACCAAATATAATACCAACCAAAAATCATCAAAATCGGTCTATATCTTCTATGTGATGATCAGAACTTTTCGATACCCCCTCGTATGCTACCGTTTGTCTGGCCAATTCGGTCAAGTAATCTTCAGCATGTCTTTGCATAAGTGTGCTGCCTATTTGAAATTCATACAGCACGTTCAGAAGTTATGGGCCTGCAAATGAAAGTATGGCTGGCTGGGGTAATGCCGAAAACGTGCAATTACGCACGTTAAAGCACGCTACGTGGACTTTACTGCTGTAGAATAGCAACGCGTATTTTTAGTCAAACAAATTACACTTTCAGCCGGCACAACGGCCTGTTACCTATAAGGAATGATCTACCTCGCATTTTCTCATTATATCACACCATAGACCTCTACATACCTCAGAGGTATGTAGAGGTCTATGATCACACAATTATAACTTCCAGTGTGCACCAAGCGTCCTCAAGCTCTTAACCCTCGCCGGCCGAGGGGGGGGGCGGGTGCCGCCCCCCCATAGGGTTTTTTCGCGATAGCTCCGAACACGCTGGCGATAGAGAGCTGAAACTTGGCATACCTGACCTTTGATCCAAGCCGCATCTTTTGACACCAACCGCATTTTTGGGTCAGGTCAGGTCACTGACCTATGACGTCATAAGTGAACCTCTGCACGGTCTTCAGATGTCGCAACTTCGCAACGCCCTCACTGCCAGAGGAGATGTCACAGGGAAATGAAACTTGCAGGATCTAGTATCCATTATGAGTCCCACAACTTGTATATCTCGGATTTTTCCTAAAGGTCATATGAGGTCAGGTCATTTTCGTGACCTCACCATTATTACGGAGCGAGCGAAGCGAGCGGAGTCTTTCCTTAGATTAACGGAAATTTCTGAGTATGAGCGGCCGGCCGGCCGGCCGGCCGTGCGGACGCTTTTGCGAGGCTTATATCTCAGCAACCACTTGACCGATTTACGCGCGGTAATTTTTGTAGGGTAGCTTCATTCCTTCTACCAAGTATTGGACTATTCCCGATGCATGCGGGTGACCCCTTATGCACGTGCCACGTGCAAAACGAAGAGGTGTCAGTTTTGTAATTGTTGCAATATCTCGGTAACTACTTGGCCGATTGCGCTGAAAGTTGGCATGTAGGTAGGCACCCACTAGGCACTGCATATCCATGTGCCAGAGTTGGGGTGCTGCTGCACGTGCGCACGTGCAGGGGTCGTTTCCAGATCTCGAGAACGGCTGGACCGATGGCGCTCAAATTTGGTACACGGTTAGGGAACAGTTAGTAGGGTGCCGTGCACAAGTCAGTTGGGACCCATTTTGCACGTGCGCACGTGCAGGGTGCCGCTCCCAGATCTCCAGAACGGCTGGGCCGATTGTGCTCAAATTTGGCACATCGCTAGAAACCGGTCAGTAGGGTGCCGTGCACAAGTCAGTTGGAGGTACCCCCTCGAAATTTCGCACGTGCAAGACTCACCCCCTCGCTCGCTCCGTTAGTCGCCCCAAAAGGCGCTATACTGGTAAGTCAATGGGGAAAAATGAAAACTGCTATTCTGGCGCCGGGAACGATCTCCAACTATCTCAAGCACACAGAATCGTGATTTGATGCACTCCTTGCAAGGTTAGATGCGTCACTTTTGCAATGTTGACCTTGCGTGACGTCATTTATGACGTCATCAAGGTCAAATTAGTTTTTCGTCAATAACTCTTGATCAAATTGAGCTAGCGAGTCGGGGAAGGCACCAATGGACTCAGGAAGGCCTGCCGAATCGAATGATATGCGACATGACCTCTTTCGACCAACTTCGTGACCTGGGGGTGCTGACCTGACCTTGACCTGAGGTCAACACCCCAAGTTGACCTGACCCGGACAAAAAGTGTATCATTCGACGCGCCGGAGCGAGGCGAACACGATGCTGCCAAAATCGGCGCTCTGCGGCCGTTTTTTGCGAAGTTATTCACCAAAAACTGAACCGTACCTTAGGGCACTTGACCTGACCTCAGAGGTCACCGGTTGACCTAGGACCTTAAAATCGGGTACCAATCTCTGCGTCTCGTAACGGCGCACACGCTCGTTTTTTCCGCGACGCGCTAGCTCCACCAGGGGCGAAACGGCGAGGGGGGGGTCGTACCCGCCCCCCCCCCCTCGGCCGGCGCGTATGTAGAAAACCAATAGGTCCGGCGAGGGTTAAAACGCGTGTCAGCTTTGATGAATTTTGGATAAAGTTTGAGATAAATTGGCAAAACATCAATGTCGGCATTCGCATTCCTCGTAGATCATTTATCCCATTCTCGGCTTTCCCCGCAGTCCGGGGCAACGCCGAAAAAGTCAGTTCTTTGATATTTTTAGTTTTTGCGCTTAACGGTATGCGAATTCATCAAATGCGCCTGATATGTTTGAAAGACAAAAGACTGGCCTCTCGAATGACGCCAACAAGAATAACTTATGTTGTCTACCTTGCGTGCTACGGGCGTCAGAAAAAAAGTATTCGGCGTTCCCCCAACTTCCCCTATTGCTGCGTGTTTAATACCTATATAGCTACTTTGATTGGTGATCATGATCAAGTGCAAATTAGTTTCGTTATAGGCACAGAAAACGCTATGTAAAATATCATTTTTTGACGATTTCGTCGTCTTGCAGTGAAGTCACTGACTTTTGTCTCTGTTCCTCACTGAAGCCGCTGACGGCGCTGTTGTTTGAAGCCGCTGACGGTGTCGTTGTTTGAAGCCGATGACGGTGTCTCTGATCCTCAATGAAGCCGCTGACGGTGTCTCTGTGCCTCAGTGCTGATGGTGTTTCTGTTCCGCAGTGAAGCCGCTGATCTGTCTACCAGTGAAGCCGCTGACTTTTGTCTCTGTTCCGCAGTGAAGCCGCTGACGGTGTCGTTTCTGGGCGCCAACCTGCCGCTCTCGGCGGGCCGGCGGCACCAGCTGACCTGTGAGACGGTCGGGTCACGACCCGCGGCCATCATCACCTGGTGGATGGCCGACAGCAAGCTGACAGAGGTCACCCAGGTCAGTGCTCGCCACAGGCAGACGCGTCCACCTCGCACAAGCGTCTACGGCTGAATGGTTTCACTCTATGTAGCATGAGCTTTTGTGCGCGCTCGGGCCCTGTCGCGCGCCGCCGTCCCCACCACCGTCCAACACTGGTCCCACTCCCACTGGTCGCGCTCCTTACGACCGATAAGGCCTACAAATGTCTGCGACACTTGAGTCGTCATTTTTTCAACGGCACCTTTTATACGTGATTGATTGGACTCTGAGGAATGAGGATTCCAGTAATCGAACTGTCTTCTTTAGTGGTATCACCCTTTGTTTTATTGTCTTAGGCGTCTGTTTAGCGCGTGTTATTGGGACATTTGTTGTCGTGAATCGTGCTGTGTGTCGTTTTCGTTGATTGCGCAGCCCACAGCGGATGTAGAGAACACTTTATGTGCACGGTTGTCGGACACGAATACGGTTGGATATTTCCCCTCCTTCCCGTTATCGTAAATGTGCGATTTGGGACAAGGTCAACGCTTTCATCTCGCATATGCTCCTCCGATATGTTGCCGTCCTGTGTTGAATAAAACCGGCTAGTCTGGTTGAACGAATAAAGTATCCGTAAAGTGTTTTTGAAACTCCATTTTATGGGCAAAAATAAATTCATATTGAATTACTGAGCAGCTAATATTGCACTTACCGTTTCAAGTTAATGTAATTGAAAGCTGAATGATAAAAGATCGACTCATTGTTGAATTACAATTGCCATCTGCTTAATATGCGCAGGTCTTTACACCTTAGACGTGGTCTGTTGTTTCCGGTCGAATCAAACTATTGTCGTTCTAAAAGACGTTAAACGAGCTCCACTTGTTACAAAAATAGTGACGATTTGTCCATATTGGCTGTGATTCACATCAATGCAACGCTGCAACCATCTCCATTGGTCGCTCAGTGCCATCTGACCCCCACATACATCTATGAACGAGCGCATTGCACTCAGCTCTTGCCGAAGCTTAACCCTCGCCCTGGCAGGGGGGGTCGATGCGACCCCCCCCTAAGGTTTTTCGAAGATAGCGTAAAAACGGCGGCGGCGGCCGCTAAATTTGGCACAGCCTATGGGGCAACCTTTTTACATATGACCTGAAAATTTCAGGTCCGGGTGACTTTGGGTCAGGTCACCAGGTCAGAAAAACCGGTACAAGGTCATGGTCAAATTTCAATTTTCTTTTTGCACCTGTCCAACTCACAGTTTTCGACTGATTTCCTTCAAACTTTCAGGATGTGCTAAGTTCACCGAGTTGTATAACATATAGTTCGGGTTTTTTGAGGTCACTGACCTGAGGTCAGTTAGAGGTCATTACGCCGTAATGTTAAGCCTATGGGAAAATACTAAATTCGGAAAATACTGGAGATATCCGCCTCGTTCTATCTTTTTTGTGCTTTGAAACCACAGTACTTAACAGCAGGTCACTTGGTGCTTCTTTGTTTGGTGTACTTATCCATGGGTCAGGTCAAATGAGGTCAACTGAGGTCAAATGACGTTTTTGCCAATAACTTGGCACATAATGACGCTAGAGCTTAAAAAATGGTGTCATTGTGTTCCTTATGATCAGCCGAATCGAATGATATGCGATATGATGCACTTTGGTTAAGTTGAACTTAATTGATTAATTAAAGTTTACTTAACCCTATTAGTGGCAGGGGGGTTGTTTTTATCCACCCCTCAGGTTTTTCGGGAATATCTCCGAAACCGCTGAAGCTACGATGCTGAAATTTTCTGACTTTTCCTAAAACTAAATTGGGAACATTCCCTGAAAATTTCAAGTTCATAACTTTACCAGGGGCGGCTCCAGAGCACTGGGAATTGGGGGTCCTATTCGTGAAGCGAGTCATTTGGGCGAAGATCACGATGCTGCACCAGTTTTACGAACAGTGAATGAAAGGTATCATGTGATAACATATACAAAGTTATTGTGCATCCTCTTTTGACACGTTTTTGCTATAATAGGCGGATCCAGGCGTCCAAAAAGGGGGTTATTTTTTACCTCCCAACATAGGTGCCCTGACACCGCCTATGCATGACCAAAACAATTTTAGTCGTTCTCTCATAAGAAAATTGTAACATAACAAGACCATTGCCACCCTTTTTAGAAACAGTACCAACAAAAACCTTATTTACTATACTTCTTGTGTACCCCCAATCTCAATGATCTGTATCCGCCTATAATTTTGAAAATGCATATTTTTAGGATTCATGTGAATTCCTGGTTCATTCTCTATCGATCGGCAAAAGTTGCGTTATGATTGGTTCAGAAACCTGGCCGTGATAAACAGTCTAAAATGTATCTGCAATTTGCCCGTTTTTACCCCCCTCTACTGACCCCCTCTCTACCCCCTCTATTGACATTTTTTAATTTTATTTTTTTTAGAAATGTAGATCTCGTTGAGCCAAATCGAATGCCGTTTGAATTTTTAAAATCGGCCGGTTAGATCTCGAGATATCAAGGGGGGGTCGTAAACAGCCCCCCCTGCCACTAATATGGGGTAGCCAGGAGCCTGCCACTAATAGGGTTAATCGTAGTGCAGAGGTTGAAGTGATGGTCCTTGTACCCTCGAAGCTGCACGAGGAGTCTACCGCCAGCATAAAGACGTTTAACTACTTCTAACTACTTCCCGCTGTTAACACGCCTTTAGCGGGGGCCGGCACTGTCGTTAGCAATGCCACACGCTCCTGGCGTGACAAGACTCACTTGAAAGGCGGCTGGCGGCGCTAACATCAGAGATTAGACCAGGCTCAGTCCAGAGTTGTGACGGAAACCGTACGGGCGAGTGCCTCTTTGTTTCGGTTCTCCGTCATTTGATAGGAAGGTGGACTATGCCTACCTACTAAGGAAACAGACGGATGCCTCCACTTTTGACACGTGCCTACGTCTTTATCATCTCTTAATTTTCCGTATTTGCACTAAAGATTTACCACACATAAACCGGCGTCTAAGCCCAAATGCGTGACTGATATATGAAAGATCGTTTAGATGGGTTTTTCTCCAATTTTTCTTATTAGTAGGTGCATTCTTACTCTTGATGTTTTATCTCTCCCTGCCATATTACAAAAAATAATACGAATTTGATAGCAAAAGTCGCATCATCCACCACTGCTGATCTAACCTGAGGGCAAATGACAACTTCAAATCACGAGCTGTCTCATGTCTGTGAAACGTAAGCGGTGAATTCGCGGTTCCTGAAAACATGTAGCCGTAGGGTGACTCGTGAGATCTGCATACTTGCCAGATCGTGAGATTTGCTGGTAAGATTTGCCTGCCGACTTGCTTGTTTGCCATTTTCTCTGATCGTTGGCCTGCTGTCTGCCTGCTGGAAGTTTGTATTTACCTACACAGATGTGTCTGTAAGTACCCGAGCACCGGACCGTTTCCTGGCGCCGCGGAGCGCCGCCACCGCGGCAGACGTCCCGCGCAGGCGACTCTGCTCCCGTCAGACCTTGTGCCGCTCCCTGGTGAACCGTTATAGCTGGCCGACCACGGGTCCAGGCAGTGGCGGCGGAAGCGGGGGGGGGGGGGGCAGCGGGGGCACGGCGCCCCCCCCATCTTCCAGGGTGGGGGTGCAAACATATCTTTTTGCCCCCCCCCCAAATTGTTATCGACGAAGTACCACAATACTTCCATACTACGTCATGAATATAATAATAGGGTTAAAAATTAAGAAAAACTTTAAGTACACTTAAGCAAGCTAAAAAGTATATCATTCGACGCGCCTTGACGTGCCGAGTTCACTGGTGCTTTTCTTTTTGCTCTATCTTAATTAGAGCAGAAGTTATAAGCGAAAAACATTTGACCTGTTTTTAGCGAAATTTTTACATTTATACCCCCCAAAACCCCCCTAAATATTGACCTAGAACAACCAAATTTGCACAGGGGCGAGAACTCTAGAGGGCCCACCTACCTACCAAATTTGGTGTTTCTAGATGCCATAGGAGCCAATCGCGAGGGGGGGGGTCACATCGACTCCCCCCCTGCCTCAGCGTGGTATAGTAAATAAGGTGTTATGAAAAATGCCCTGCCAGGGCGAGGGTTAACCCGCGCCCTGCTGGGGGTCCTGGATTTCCACGCCCTGCTGGGGGGGTGTTTGAACACCCCCCCTTGTAACTCGGCTCCTGGGCCACGTAGCGATACGCGGAAGGCGGCGTTCGAAAGAGCGTAAAAAATAATGACGAAATCACTTCGGTCTATTTTTTGGTCAGGTCAAAGGTCAGGTCACCAGAGGTCATTGAAGGCAAAATTTCGCTGATTTCCAGGTCGAATGTCGAAAATTTCCAAGAAGCCAACGCATAACTCGGGAACCAATAGAGCTACAGCGCCGCGGAAAAAGCGCATTCGATAGCCCTATTAACGCCCTTTCTGAGTAATTCTCTCAGATTTGACCTAACGTCAACGGTTTTGCCTGCAGGGGGCAAAAACTGCAAAAATAGCCGATTTTTTTGAAAACAGTTTTTCTGCAATAACTTTTGACCCAAGCCTTGTACGAGCTTACTTTTACCGGCATCGTGTTCCTCTCGTCAAGACGCATCGAATGAACTATAACTTGACCTTGAAAGGTCAACTTGAAAATTTGACCTCAGGTCAAGGTCATGACCTGACCGGAAAGGGTCATGTTGCATATCAGTCGATCCGTATCGTCGAGCTGAACACATCTAAGGCGTTTTCATCGCTCTAGCATGCCTCTATCAAAAGTTATTTGCGAAAAACTGTTAGATACCATTCGTGACCTAAGATGACCTCAGGGCATAAACAAGGGTCACGGACACCATTTTTAAGTTCAGTGTGTCTAAACCACTTGTAATTCGGTGTTTGGGAGTGTTTATAATGTCTTTCATCCAATAGAGGCGCATTTCAATTTTCTCCCATTGACTTATAATGGGGAGGTCGCAAAATTGACCTGACCTTAGGTCATCGATATCAAAATTCTGAGATATACATTTTGTACATGCTATTGCTCTTAAAAAATCGCTGAAAGTT